CTTTGGCCATGTGGTTATGGCTTTAAGAATAAAAGAAATGGATTATGTAATTTGCCTCTGTTACTAAGGAAAGTCACTGAGGCCAGATATGTGTCAGTGGTGTCCCTGAATGGAGGCCTAATGGAAGCTTTGTGAAGTTGAAGCCTAGATTTCCTTGGAGACCCCAAAAAGTTGGAGATGCCAGAGTCAAGGAACACCTCCCAAGGAGAGCTGCTCCTAGGGAGTGGAAACACTCCAAGAGAAAGAGTATTTTGCAATCAACAAAACTGAAAGGAGTTGGAGATCTGAAGAGCATTTTGACACCAGAAATAGAAATACAGAGTTTGGAGTTTGCCCAGCTGGTTTTCAGTCTTGCTTTGGTCCTGTATTTCCTCACTGTGCTCCTTTCCATGTGTTTTGGAATGGTGATGGATATCCTATAGCATTATATGTTATAAGTATATGATCTGCTTTTAGGATTTTGATTTTACAGGAGATAATAGTTAAGAAACTGGATGAATCTCAGAAAAATTAGACTTTTAAATAAGTTTGAGACTACTATAAATCACAGGGACTTTTGTTGTTTGCTTTTGGCTCCTTGTTCTTTGACTTTGGGGGGGCATAAAAGAACCCCACCAACCAGCTCCCAAATAAATCACAGAGACCTATTATTACTTGTAAGTGCCCCTTTTGGCTTATTCCTAGCCAACGGTTTATCTTAAATTATCCCACCTACCTTTTGCCTCTCAGCTTTTCACTTTTCGTATTACTGTAATCTTACTTTGACTCTTATTCTGTGGCTTGCCCCTGGCATCCTCCTCTCCTTTTTCTATCTTGCTCCCTCTTTTCCTCCCAGATTTCTCCTTCTATTTATTTTCTCTGGCTGCTAGCCCTACCTATCCTTTCTTCTACCTCACTATTGGTCATTCAACTCTTTATTAGACCATCAGGTATTTTAGACAGGCAAAGAATCACAGCTTCACAGAGTTAAACAAATGCAACATTTAAGAATTCATCATATACTTGCATCATCAAAACAAATGTTCCACAGCATAAAAAATGTAATGTATTTTAAAATAATATTCTACAGCAGACTTTTGACATTGAACTGAATGCATTTTTGCACTATGATATTGCTACAAGCCTATGGGGACCAGGGAGTGGAATGTGGTAGTTTGAAAGAAATTGTCCCCCATAGAGAATGGCACTGCTAAGACATGTGGCTTTGATGGAGTACTTATGGCCTTGTTGGAGGAAGTGTGTCACTGTGGGACTGGGGTTTGAGGTCTCCTATGCTGCAGCTATGCCTAGTGACACACTTCACTTCCTGTTGCTTGTGGATCAAGATGTAGAACTCTCAGCTCCTTCCCCAGCACCATGTCTGTCTGAATGATGATATGCCCTGCCATGATAATGGATTAAACTTATGAAACTGTAAGCCAGCCCAAAATAAATGTTTTCCTTTATAAGAGTTGTCATGGCATGGTGTCTCTTCATGCCAATAGAACAGTGTCAAAGACATCTCTTCTCAGGAAGCCTATATCCAAGACTTAAACTTGAAGCCTTTACATCCAATGCTTAAACTTGAAGCCATAAAGGTCCAGCTCCATACTCAAAGTTGGGACATCTCTGAAAGGCCATCTCGCTTCAGAACTATTTGAGCGTTTTCTGAAGCCCTTTTGGAGATTACATAGCAGACTGCTTTCTCTATTTTACTAATCCTGATCTCTTCCCATCATCCTTTTCTCCCTTCTCCCCTTCCCTTTCACTAGCATTGATTCTAGGAGCTCTCTCTAAAAAACTTTCTATGCGTTAATGTATTTTAGAGTCTGCTTCCCAGGGATCCTACATTGTAGCAACAACTGACAGAAAGTTGAGAAGAAGAGAATAAGAAAAGTAGAGGAAAGTATAGGCATATTACTACCCATTGCAATGGATAAAGTAGAAGCTAGGTATGTGGGCAGTAGTGGCATAGACTTGTAATATCAGCACTTGAGAAGTGGGAAAATGATGAACAGAAGTTCAAGGACATCATGAATGTCATAGCAAGCTTACAGCCAGACTGGACTATTTAAAATTCTGTCTTAACACTATCCCGCCTGCAAAAGAGAAGGAAAGAAAGAGACAAAGGAAGAAGATCAGAGAGAAAAAAAGGAAAGATGGACAGACCAACAGATAAAAAACCAAACAGGTGGAGGGAGAAACTAAAACCAGGCATGGCAATTCACATTCTAATATCAGAACTAGGGAGGACTGGGTAGAAGGAAGATATGAGCTTAGGGTTACACTGAGCTGTACTGCAAGACACTATATCAAAATAAAACAAAGAAGTAAGTAAATAATTGCTATACCCAGTTGAAATAATCAAGGTTCAGAAACATTTAAAAGATGTGGGTGTGGTATACAACTAAAATTTGAGCAGTTAGAGGTAGAGATAGAAGAATCTGAATTCAAGGCCAGGAACCACTACAGAGCAAGTATGAGGCCAAGTTGGAATATATGAAGCTATGTATCAAAAATTAAATAAAACATAATATGAATATTAAAGATATAAAGATATGAAATAAAATATTTAAGTAGTGCTGTATGGCTACAGAAAAACACAAAGCAAAATGATAGATGAAATAGAATTGACCATTAGATGAAAACTGATAAAATTCAGTGAAAAGAAAATAGGGTTTAGCCTGGCAGTGGTAGCGCACGCCTTTACTACCAACACTCAGGAGGCAAAGGCACGCAGATCTCTGTGAAAGAGAGAAGAAAAAGTGGGCTATATTCTCAGGACTGGCTGTGTGGAGATACACAAGGAAGCATAGGCCTCTGCTCTCCTGCTGTCTGAAAACTGTGGATCTGTGCATGGACACAGCCATATCCGGGTCACATGGTTTGTGGCAGCTCGGCCTGCCCTTGGCTTCAGAGGATAGTGAAAGTAAACTGCATCAGGACCAGACTTTGACCCTGTCTTCCTTCCCAAAAGGTGCATGTGCAGCCCATGGAAAAGGAGCAGACAGACTAGGGCTGCACCACTCAGCAGTCCTGACCTTTGTCTAGCAACCACTCCCATTCCCACACATGTCAAGTAGCTTCTGACAGGAACAGCTCATGCAAAAGGCCACACACACGCTTGCTTGCTTCTGGCGTGCACATCACCTTCCCAGTGGCCTTTCATTTCACTCTCCCCACGTTCAGTACAGATCTCACCACTCTCCTCCCTCCTCCTTTCTGAGCCCGCTTTCCACTCAAGCCATTCATTGGTTCAGCCAGCTCAGCTCCTGGTGGGCCAGCTGTTTGGAGCAGGCAAGCCCAGGGCTGCCAGACTAAAGCAGAGATTCTAAATGTATCCACCAGAGGGCGCCAATGGGCAGATGTTCAGCTATTAACACTGAAAGGCAACAGATTTCCTTACTTTGTAAACCATAAGCTCAAAACCAAATATTTAAGCTTCAAATGCCCCACCAGATCTTTTGAAGTATGTCACTGTCACTAAGTGAGCAGGCTCCCTCTGTCGCCATTCTATTTTGTCTGAATGGAGGGGCTTTTCTGGTCACCTCCTTTTACTCTCTAACGTTGACCCAGGAAGGGTTCTGAATTTCCAAACTGACTTGTCTTCCTAAAGCTTCTCAGGGAAGGGCAGACACAAAGAAGCTGTTGTGGAATGTGAACCTCTGGGCAGAGCATGGCTATCATCTCCCCTTCACCACTGCAGCTGTGTCTGTTTGCCAAGTTTGAGATTCTGAGCACTCATTCACAGGAGTGGGGGCTGGGGTCATCTGATCCTCTCCTCAGACTAGAGTCACTTACTCCCTCTGGGCACCCCTCCCAGCTGTGTGTGGTCTCAGGGGGTTCCAGAGCATGTAGGCGGTGAAAAAGTTAATAAAGAGAAGACCCCATCTTTGAAGCTTTGGGGAAGTTGCCATTCACGTTAGGTTGGGACTTTTTAGGACGTAGCTGTTTGTGGGTCATCTATACTCCTGTGCGGAGATCTAGTAAAGTCATTGCAATCTAGAGAACTCCCAAAATATCAACCACGGGGTGTCCCAGAGTCTAATCTTCCAGGATGTCTTTGCCCAAGTACATGCAGATTGACAGGCCTGGCTGTGTTCCTCCTCTTGCAAGTAAGAATTGGGGGCCCTCTAGCTAATTCTAGGGGGTGCTCTCTGCTCTAGACACTTCCATGAAAGAAGGAAGCACAATGTACAGAGAACTGTAGCTTGGGAAAGTGTCTTGTCTGCTCATAAGAAGGTTTGTAGCTAGAGCTGAAGAGATGGCACAGCAGGTGAGTACCTCCTGCTCTTCCAGAGGACCTGGGTTTGGGTCTGAGGACACACAGCAGACAGCTCTCAACTACCTGCACATTCAGCTTCAGGGAAACCCTTCTCTGTGCTGGCCTCCAAGGAGAGCAACACACCTGTGACATACACGCACAAAACATGCACACGCACACACACACACACTAAGTATAAATCAACCGTAAAAGAAGAGAAAGTTAGTACCTGTGAGCTTTCCCCTGTTCATCAAGTGAATGAAGGCTGTGTCCTGATCCTGACACACTCAAGATGGGCCTGCTCAAGTTTCTCCCAGAAAGGGGAACTGCCTTGAGTGATGTGGGAGTGTCATATATCAATCTGTTGATTTCATTGGTTAAGCAATAAAGAAACTCCTTGGTCCTGATAGGTTAAAACATAGGTGGGAGAAGTAAACAGAATAGGATGCTGGGAGGAAGAGGAAGTGAGGTCAGACTCTGCTCTGCTCTCTGGAGCAAAGCCACCAGGCTCCGCTCTCCCAGGCAGCTCTGACCCAGGATGGACATAGGCTAGAATCTTCTGGGTAAGCATACCTTGGTGTGCTTACACACATTATTAGAGATGGGCTAAATTAATATGTGAGAATTAGCCTAGAAGAGGCTAGATATGGGCCAAGCAGTCTTTAAATGAATACAGTTTGTGTGTTGTTATTTCAGGCATAAGCTAGCAGGTGGCTGGGGTGCTGGGGACGCAGCCTCGCTGCACCTTATTTCAACGCTTGAGCTTCAGAATGCCACTGTGGGTTTGCTGACTGACCTGTGGATGGGTAAAAGTGAGCTGCGTGGGCCATAGTTGCCTTCCTCGCTGAGCCTTCGCTCAGGGTGGACTCTCAAGATCATTGCCCTCTGAGCACACCTTGGGACGGCATCACTTAGCAGGGTTCAGAATGTGCTGGTTAAAGAGACTGATTTCTGCCTTCCCTTTGCAACATGCAGCAAGTAGATGAAGCCCAAATCCCTCCATTTGGCTTTAATATCTGCATGGCTGAGGACATGTGAAAGTTGCTCGGTTGCATTCAAGGCTGCAGAAGTATTTTTCTGTGGTGACATTCACCCGTTGCTGCTCCCTAACAACTAGCAGTCTGTACACTATGCCATGTATCCCTCCTCCCCCGCAGGCAGCTGACCCCACCTGCCTCCTGGAGGTGGATGTAGGAAAAGCCTCTATGCCACCCTGCAGCTCAGGTGGATCCACTAAATGACTGTGTGGGTTGAAAAAAATCTCCCTGCTGCTGCTCTATACCCAAAGTCTCTGTTCCTGGTTTTTGTGACTGAGTGCTGGGATCCTTTGTTGGTTATAACCCTGTTTGCAGCAAGCTCTTCTGTCCAGCTGGATGCCTTTCTGTTCAGTGATGCCCTTTAAAAAGGAAAGAAAAGAAAAAAAAAAACACCACTTTTCCACCTGACTTTTTGTTCACCGTGAAAGCGCCAAGAGGTAGGAAGGGCTTAGACTCCTTTAGAAGCTGTAGTGGTGCTTTAGGGTTCTTCTGCTTCTTGGTTGCGTCGGAGAGGGCTCTAGTTGTGTGAAGAAATGCTGGATGTAAGTTCAGTTTGGTGGCCTGACTCTTTGCCATGTTTATGCTCTATCTGTAAAGTATGGGTGAGGAGGAGACATGTGAGGACCCCACATGGGGCCCAAAATATTGTGTGTACTTTATATCCATCCAGTGAAAGGGCTAAGTTTGGGGTGCTACTGTCCACTCTGTGAGTAAGATCAGAAAGTGGAGTGTGTGTGTGTGTGTGTGTGTGTGTGTGTGTGTGTATGCTCAAGTAGTCACGAATCTAGGCACAAGAGATGAACCCTTTTACAACAGCCTCCGGTGGCTCAAATTCCTCTTTAACTTATGCTTCTTTGGCCATCCTGGGCTGCCTATCCTTACTCCAGGACTCTGGAGCAGGAGCCAGCAAACTTGGGAACTTCCTGCCCAGGAATTCCAACTTTCGACCTTCTTGCTCTTTAATCAGCCTGTTTAGGAGCTCAGGAACCGGGATCTTACATATTTGCTCCGAGCTCAAACAGCCTACACTGACGAGTGAAAATATTGCTGCAGCTGAGAGCTATGAACAGCAGCTGTCTACTAAATGTTTGTTGTGTGCCAGCGTTTGTGTTGGGCCCAGGATTTGGTTTTGCGTGGTGACAGGCACCGCACCAGGACTGGCCAAGTCATGCAGGCCCGGAGTGGCACCGACAGCTTGGCTGATGTACTTTATGAACCTGTCCATGCACCTCACTCCTGAATTCCAGTATTAACTGCCATGCTCCCACGGCTGGCTTCTCCTACTTTCCTGGACCCTGGGCTTCTCAACTCACAACCTCTTAGCTTCCTGCCAGATGAGAATAAATCGAATCCTCTGCTAATGCTCCAGGACCTCACTGAAAACGCGCTCAACTTTGTGGTTCAATGCTGCCTTACTCTCCTGGAGAGAGAGAAAGAGAGAGAGAGAGACAGACAGACAGAGACAGAGACAAACAGAGAGACAGAGAGACAGAGATAGAGACAGAGACAGAGACAGAGACAGAGACAGAGAGGGCTGCCCCTCACCCAGTCTGCTTGACTGATCTATGGACACTACCTCACTTAACACCCCCTTTCCAAACACAGCTTACAACAACCCTCAAATATCCACAATGTCACGATCTCTCATCTGATCGCTGATTGCTCAGAAGGTCATTTCAATTTGGCATCTTCATAGGGGAGCTGTGTCAGCTATGATCAGATTCCAATCCTGTTTAGAGACCATAACACTAGGTCACCTCTTAACCAGCTTTATGGTGTTAAGAGGATTAGCAGATACATAATTATATATTATATATTGGTTAAATATATATTCTATATAGTTATAATCATATATATTTATATTGGTCAAACACCAGCTACCTATAACATATATAATATATAAGACCAATCCTCCAAGATGTCATAGCAGGCTACATACACGGGAGAGGGCAATTATGAGGCATCACCAACCTTCCCAGGCCAGAAGGCCACAATGAAGTCCTGCTCAGAACCCAAATTCCAGTTGACCAGAAATCACATGAAGTTCCTCTGGAGATTCAGAGATTCGTGGAGGCCAAGTACAGCGATGAAGGAGTAAAGCCACCATTCACTCAGGAGACAATTCCCTCCTCTTTTCTCTGATGTGGCGGTGCCACAGGACGCCAGTTACAACCCAGTTTCAATAAGATCCTGAGACAGACAATGTGAGCAAGTGCGGATTTCAACAGAAAGTCATGTAGCATCACAGGGCAGCAGTGTCTACACTGCAGACACATATTAGCACTCTCTGTCATGTGAACCATCAGAAAAATGATTCACTGAGCAACAGAAACTCACTTTTAAAGAAAGTAAGACTGGGGGCAGGAGAGACGGCGCAGTAGTTAGCAGTACTCAGTGCTCTTCCACAGGACTCCGGTTTGATTCCCACACCCACCAGTCAGCGCACCTCAGGTTCCAGGGACTCTGACACCATCTTCTTGCCTCTGGGGGAACTGCAAGCATGTGTTGAATATACTTATATGCAGGCACAACATTCATACATATAAAATAAAAATATATAAATAAATCTTTTTGGAGAAAGAAAACTAAAAGACCTAGTCTCAGTAAATAATAGAATGAACAAGGAACCCAACTGAAAATTTAAACTTAAAAATATGAGAGCTGAAGTGTGAAGACATCATCAGGAGGAGTGGCAGTAGAAGCAATGGGTGAGCAGAGTGAAGACCCAAAGAAAATATACCAAGAAAACAAGAAGGAGTTTCAACAAAGTTTGGCAGTATCTCAGTAATCAAATGTATACCTAATAACCCTAGAAATTCCACACTGAAGGATTCACCCTAAAAAATGAAATTATATGCTCACACACACACACACACACACACACACACACCACATAATAGGTGCTTCTGAGACATATATGACTATAGAGATAAATCTAATGTCTCTATCACAGGGTCTCCAGAAGCTGAGGTTGGCAGTACTTAGCACACTGCTAGGAGCAAGAACAGAAAAAAGTACAAACATTGTCAAAAGAAAGACACATTTCAGAAGCCGAACAAGCCTGTAGCAGATCAAACCCAAATAAACCTACAGCAATAACACACCAGAATTCTGAGAACAACAACAAAAAAAAAAAACCCAACCTTCGAAGCAGCAAAAGAGGATTGATCCTATTCTGACATGCCTTAAAACAATTAGAGATGGGCTTCTCATCAGAAAACATGGAGTCCAGAAGGAAGTGGAGGAGGGAAGACCCTGAGGGGAGTGGAGAAGAAATGTCTCCTAAGTTATCCACCCAGAAGGCAAAGCACTCCTGGTGTAGGAGTTCCTTCTGTCTGTGTGTGGCTTTCATTGGTTACTAAATAAGCTGCATTGGTCTCTTGATAAGGCAGAATTTAGGTAGGCAGGGAAGATGGAACTGAACTCTGGGAGGAAGAAAGCAGAGTCTGAGAGATGCCATGGATCTGCCACCAGAGTCAGAAGCAGAACCTTGCCGGTAAGCCACAACCATGTGGTGGTACACAGATTAGTAGAAATGGGTTAAATTAAGATGTAAGAGTTAGCCAATAAGAAGTTAGAGCTAATGCGCCAAGCAGTGATTTAATTAATACAGTTCCTATGTGATTATTTCATGTGTGAGCTAGCCAGGTGGGTGGGAACCAACAAGCGGTCCTTCCTTTTACACACCCACACCTCTACTCCTGCTTCCTAAGCATGACAGAGCTTCTGCCACAGAAGGTGCTCTCTTAACCTGCCTCTGATCACCCCATATTTAATTCACAGTGAAGTTGGAGGTCTCTTCCAGACTAATGTGCTTTGATTGACCAAGAACTCCCCACCCAAAGGTTGCCATGAACACCCCCTAAAATTACTTTGCTTACAAAAAGCAGGAAGCAGTTTGGAAAGAACTATGTCCAAATCCCCTAAGTGATTGCTTATAAATGATTGTTTACATTTAAAGGGGGATATGATATAAAGATGAATGCTTTGCATTGATATGGATCTTGTTCTACTGATACAAATTTAAGGTCAATTTTGTTACTCATATATTTCTGCTCTTGATTAAGGTATTGTGTTTGTGCAGCTCATTTAAAATGTAATATAGAAAGTAGGCCTGAGACAGCAAACTGTAAGTGAGCAGAGCAAGGCACAGGAGCGCTGAGCTATCTTCAGGAACACTGTGTAACTTATGGGGTAACTAGAACCATGACACTGAATGTACCAGGAGGAACAACCATCTGAGCTTTGGATTCACTGGCACCTTGAATATTATTCAACAGAATCTTGGACAGCCCCAATCACACCTATTAGAGGAAAAGATGAATAGATTTCACCAATACCTAGCCACAGACCTAGCCCTACACAAAATACTAGAAGGAAAACTCCAACACAAGGAAGTTCGCTACACCAACAAAAACACGGACAATTGATGGTCTCATAACAGCAAATCCCAAACAAAAATGCACAAATTATCATCACCAACGATGAAAACTAAATTAACAGGAGATAGCAATCACTGGTCTTTAATATCCCTTAATGTAAATGGACTCAACTCACTGATAAAAAGACACAGACTAACAGATTAGATACAAAAACAGAATCCATCCTTCTTCTGCATACAAGAAATACATCTCAACCTCAAAGACAGACATCGTCTCAGAGTAAAGGGTTGGGAAAAAGATAACAATCAAATGAACATAAGAAACAGTGGGTGTGGCTATCCTAATATATAACAAAATAGACTTCAAGCTAAAATCAGTCAAAAGAGACAAAGAAGGTCATTTCATACTAATCACAGGAAAAAGCCATCAAGAGGAAATTTCAATACTGAACATCTATGTTCCAAATACAAGGGCACCCTCATATGTGAAAGAAACGCTTCTAAAGCTTAAAACATACATTAAACCCCACATACTAATAGTGGGAGAATTCAACACTCCCCTCTCACCACTGGATAGGTCAATCAGACAAAAAAAACAGAAAAATAAGAGAACTAACAGATTTTATGACTCAAATGGACTTAACAGACATCTTTAGAATATTCCATCGAAACAGAAAAGAATATACCTTCTTCTCAGCACCTCAGAGAACCTTCTCAAAAATTGACCACATACTCAGTAACAAAACAAACCTCAACAAATACAAAAAAAATGAAATAACCCAATGTACCTTATTAGATCACCATGGTATAAAACTAGAAATCAACAGCAATACTAATTCCAGAAAACCCACAAACACATGGAAATTAAACAATGCTCACCTGAATCATCAGTGTGTCAAGGAAGAAATAAAAGGAGAAATTAAAACTTCCTAAAATTCAATGAAAATGATCACACAACATACCCAAACTTATAGGACACAATGAAAGCAGTGTTAAGAGGAAAATTCATAGCACTAAGTGCCTACATAAAGAAGCAGGAAAAATCCTACACTAGGGAATTTACAGAACATTTGAAAACTTTAGAACAAAAAGAAGCAAACTCACCTAGATGGCAGGAAATAACCAAAGAGAGGGTTGAAATCAACAAAATAGAAACAAAGAAAACAATACAAAAATCAATAAGACAAAGAGCTGATTCTTCGAGAAAATCAACAAAATAGACAAACCTTTATCCAAACTAACCAAAAGGCAGAGAGACAATATCCAAATTAACAAAATCAGAAATGAAAAGGGAGACACAACCACAGACATGTAGGAAATACAGAGAATCATCAGGTCATATTTATTTGTAAATATGTACTCCACAAAATTAGAAAACTTAAAGGAAATGGACAACTTTCTCGATAAATATCACTTACCAAAATTAAATCAAGACCAGATAAGTAAATTAAACAGAACTATAACTGCTGAAGAAATAGATACAGTCATCAAAAGTCTCCCAACCAAAAAAAAAAAAAAGCCCAGGCCAGATGGTTTCAGCTCAGAATTCTACAAGACTTTCAAAGAAGAACTAATATCAATATTCCTCAAATTATTCCACACAATAGAAATAGAAGGAACATTGCCAAACTCTTTTTATGAGGCTACAATTACCCTGACACACAAACCACAGAAAGACATTACTAAGAAAGAGACTTACAGACCAATATCACTCATGAACATTGATGCAAAACTACTAAATAAAATGCTGGCAAATTGAATCCAGGAGCACATCAGAAACATCATCCACCATGATCAAGTCAGCTTCATCACCAAGATGTAGGGATGGTTTAACATAACGAAAATCTGTAAACATAATGCACCGTTTAAACAAGCTTAAAAATAAAAACCACATGATCATCTCATTAGATGCTGAAAAAGATCTTGACAAAACACAAAATCCCTTCATGATAAAGGTCTTGGAGAGAGTAGGGATAAAAGGAACATACCTAAACATAATTAAGGTAATAAACAGCAAGCCAACAGCCAACATCAAACTAAATGGAAAGAAACTCCCAGAGATTCCACTGAAATCAGGAAAAAGACAAGGTTGTCCATTCTCTCCATATATAGTTATTGAGGTCCTAACTAGAGCAATGAGACAAAAAAAGGAGCTCAAGGAGATACAAACTGGAAAATAAGAAGGCAAACTTTCACTGTTTGCTGATGATATGATAGCTTACATAAGTAATCCCAAAAATTCTACCAAGGAACTTCTACAACTCATAAACATTTTCAGTGATGTAGCAGGATACAAGATTAACTCAAAAAAATCAGTATCCCTACTTTACACAGATGATAAAAGGGCTGGGGAAGAAATCATAGAAGCAACACACTTCACAATGGCCACAAATAGCATAAAATATCTCAGAGTAACTCTAACCAAACAAGTGGAAGACTTGTGTGACAAGAACTTTAAATTTTTGAAGAAAGAAATTGTAGAAGACACCAGAAAGTGGAAAGATCCCCCATGCTCTTGGGTAGGCAGAATTAACATAGTAAAAATGGCAATCTTACCAAAAGCAATCTACAGATTCAATGCAATGCCCATCAAAATCCCAACAAAATTCTTCAAAGACCTCGAAAGAATAGTACTTAAGTTCATATGGAAAAGCAAAAAACCCGGAATAGCCAAAACTATCCTGAACAATAAAAGAACTTCTGGAGCATCACAATCTCTGTCTTCAAACTCTACTACAGAGCTACAGAACTGAATGATGGAGGAAGGTCATTGGCTAATAAAGAAACTGGCTTGGCCCATTTTATTGGTTAGAACATAGGTGGGTGGAGTAAACAGAATAGAATTCTGGGAGGAAGAGGAAGTGAGGTCAGACCCAACAGCTCTGCTCTCTGGAGCAGAGACGCCATGCTCAGCTCTCCTGGGTAGACTTGACAGCTCTGCTCTCTGGAGCAGAGATGCCAGGCTCTGCTCTCCCAGGCAGCTCCGACCCAGGATGGACGTAGGCTAGAATCTTCCTGGTAAGCGCACCTTGGGGTGCTTACAAACAATTATTAGAAATGGGCTAGTCCAGGTGCGAGAGTTAGCCGAGAAGAGGCTAGATAGAAAT